TGTTCAAATCCCTTCTCATCAAGCAGAGGGGTGAATTGAACTGGGGTCTTTTACATCCTGGATGAGTATCCTAATCACTAGGTTAAAGATTATAAAGAGAGACCTCCTTCTCTCCATGTGTATATATATTTTTTTTAAAGTAATTTTGTTTCTTCATTACATTTGTAAAAAAATCTTCTCCACATAACTGAAACTGCGTCAGAGAACAAATGCTTCCTTTCTTATTTTCTTCTTTTTTCCTTCCAGGTTATATGATAAATTTAGAAAAACTTATTCCAGTTCCAAACTTTTTGAGATGGATATGGCTTAAAATGCAGACCTTTTCGTCTTTCAATCAGAGAAAGAGATTGGGTGGAACAAAATATGATGGGACAGGCAAGGGAGTCACATAAAGGTAAGAAATGTCTGACTACTGGTATCTCCCATAATTTTAATTCATCTTCCCTCACAATCCTGGCAAAAATCAAGCAATTTTGACTTCAGCATGAATGGGGATGGCAGAAGTACAATGAATGGAGTCGGAAGAGAGGTTTTCTGTTTTTGTTGAGGGTTTTTTTTTGTTTTGTTTTTTGGTATTGGACTTTCATTTGTGCCTGTATCTGATTAGCAGGGAGCTTCAGATATAGCATATTTTATTTCTATTCCAGCTCTTGAATAATTATAAGAAAAATGATTGAATCCAGAGGTTTGATTAGGTCTACGGACTGGATGGGTGGCAAAAAAATTTGAATTAGGGAACATTTCTCTCTGAGACCTTAACAGATGGGCTATACAGGAAGGTACACCAGTAATGAAGAGTAAACACCTGTCCTGTGGCTTTAATTTCTGACTGCTCAGGAGTTGGAGGGTAGGTTAAAATGTTTGAAGTAAATTTAAGAAAAAATACTGATTTGGAGTGATTTAGGATCGGGATTTTCACTGGCTTTATAATAGCAAATTGGGTATAGGAAATTGTCAGAAAGGTGCCATTATTTCAAACAGTAGGCATGCTCGCTGACCAGTGCTGCTCTGTTTTCTTAAAACACACTGGCTACAGAGTACAATATTTTACTAAGCTTCCCTTAAAGTATTGAAAGCCTGCAAGATATTTTATTTCCAAGCATTATTAATTTCTAAGGAGTAATTCAGAAATACCAAAGTGTGACTTTGAAGTCTAAATACAGCTCATTGCCTCTTTTTCCTTGTAACTGTAAAATGAGGACCAAGCTGATTTTTTTTTAATTGGTGCTAATAATCATCAAAACTTCTATTGCCAACATTTCAGTATTGTTCTAACATAACTAGTGCAAATAAATTACATTAAAAATTTTCATTTGTAAGTTTTTGGTGGCTATAGACAGTGAAATATGTTCTGGATTTGTGGGTGGGTAGAAAGAGTGATAGAACATTTCTCATCTTTCACTTTCCTTGCCCCTTCTTGTGGTTTCTTCTTTCACTTCCGATCATCATTAGGCTTCAGATTTTTAAACGGTTTACACAAATGTGAGCAACTGACGCTATTGGGACCAGTCCCTGCAAACATCAGAGCAGCATCAGAGTCTTCACATGTAGAACAGTTCATAGAATTGGGTTTCAAAACTATTATGTTAGGCTGTGTCTCAGCCTGTGGTCCTGTATCTGGCCATCCAGGTGATTTTCTTTACAATTTTACACTGGGTACTTAAATGTAACAAATAATTTCAATAGAAACTCTTACAACCACTGAAGAAGTGTTGGATAGAGTGGCAAATGAGGTCCAACAGAATGGCACAATTTCTCCACCATAATTCAGATTGCTCCAAGGTTTCCATCAGGGGTGGGCAAAAGCCACGCAATGGGCCGGATCACGCCTGAAGTACTGTTCCAGCCCCCCCAAGCACGTTGCTTGGGAGCCGGAGTTGCACAAGCCCTTTCATCTGCTTCTATTTAAAGGGCTTGCACTTTCCCCATTGTTGGCAGGCAACAGCCCCAGGGAAGGTGCAAGCCCTTTTAATAGAAGCAGTTGAAAGGGGTTGCCTGTTCCCAGCTCCCAGGCAAGATGCTAGCAGTGAGGCCAGGAGCAGCAAGCTCTTTAAATAACAGGAATTGAAAGGGCTTGCTGCAACCGTCTTTGGCTAATGTGATGACTGGGAACCACAGGGGAGGAGTGAGTCCTTTCATCTCCTGCTATTTAAAGGCCCCACCCCTCCTGTCTGAGGCCTTGTCCCTTCTGGGGCAGCCTGGGACCACTTCAAAAAGGTTTGAAGTGGCCTCTGCTCAAAAATTATTGCCTACCCCTGGTTTACATTCTAATAGGGTTAATGAAGTTCTCTTAAAAACACTATTTTGAAGAGTTATTTGAAAAAGCTTATTGTAGTTTGAGATACTCGAATTAATAATAGCTAAGTAACAGTTGTTATAAAGTAGTGAAATGTACATGACACTGACAAGGGGGAAGAAAGGTAAGCTTTTTTAAAAAATGAGATTTCAGTAAAACAAGGAATCTAGTAAAAAAGGCCATGAAGTCAAAAGTAAAGAAAACAAAAACCTTAGATTTGGCATGGATGCTTGCTATATAAGGAAATAATACACTAGTCTGAGAATACATGCATGCCTTTGGGGTGACACAGCAAAATAGCAGCAAGTAAACCATTATGGGTAAATTACAAAATTCAAGAGCTTCAGGGGGTAGCTGAGTTAGTCTGCACAGGATAAACTTAAAAAACAACGAATAGTCTAGTAGTACCTTAAGGACTAACAAAACATGTAGATGGTATCATGAGCTTTCATGGGATACCATCTACATGTTTTGTTAGTCTTTAAAGTGCTACCAGATTATTTGTTGTTTTTAAAATTCAAGAGATTATTCAAACAAGGAACAAGTCTTTCTGAATTTGGAAATTTGCTAATAAACTAATAAAAGTAAGCATAAACTAGCAGGCAGTGTTCAACACAGAAATTAGGAGGTCTAAGGTGAAATTTGAAGAGCAAATAACTAATTGTACAAAACCACATTTTTAAATATCACCAGGAAGCCTGAAAAAAATTGAGTTAGCTGATCACCAAAAATTTTAAAAACTACATAATTAAGATAAAGGGATATTGCACAGAAGTCATTTATTTAGCTTCTCAGCATCATTCTTCATGGCAGAGATGGAGTAGATAGCTATTCCCTTTTGGTGATATAGTTGAGGAATTACCAAAGATTGCTGTCAGAAGAAGTGATGCTGGAACATTCCTTTAGTGCCGTGGTCCCCAACACGGTGCCCGCGGGCGCCATGGCGCCCGCGGGGGCATTTGAATGCGCCCGCCAGGTGCTCAGGGCTGACCTGGCCCCGGGCACATGGCACGGCGCTTGCGGGGAGCGTCGGCCCCGGGCACGTGGCGCTTGG